AAATAAAGGCGAAAAGATACCGATAGTCATGCCTAGAGAGGCCGCAGTCAGGACAGCTGTCGGATGTGAACGGGTCGAACCGGTGTTGGTAGGTCCAGGGTTGACCTCAATCCCGGCGGCGACGGGGAGGAGTCAGAGCAGCGTTGCCGGGAGGGTCTGTTCCGTCATCAAAAACAGGTTGAGAGGAGGGGAGCTTGATCCAACGTAGGGAGCTTGGCGTAGCAGACTTTGACCGCTGTGAGGCGGGTGGGAACTCGACGAAGACGCGTCTGTTGTGGTTCCCTCTTCTATTGTGTCGTATTGGATGGTGTCCTTTTGCGCTGGTCTGCACTACTTGTCTTTAGAAAACTTTTCTTACATGATGCTCGCAGCAATTATAGCAGGACCAGTCATTGGTGTCTGCGAATCCAATCCGAAAACGGAAATTGCCTTCGGCTATGAAGCTCTTGACGGCTTGGGGTACGTCAGGCCGACAAAGGTGACGAACAGCAAATCAGAGAATGTCATTCAAGGCTGCCTAGTTCGTAGGCGTAATGCTTTTTGTTCGTCGAGGGTTCTAGGTCAGATCAAGGAAAGAAAAAAGAAGACTGTGTGCATTCCACTTTGAGATGGGGACCAAACCAGAGGACGCCGCTCGCATATTGTTAAGAGCAGCCAGCTACCATGCAGGTAGCGAGCCGCGCTCACGGAAGGCTGTCTACCGGCCCACACGCGTCGAACTCAAACTGGCAAGCAATGAATCAATAATTCAAAATTTAGAGCTGCAGCCAGCCGTTGAGTCACAAGCCAATCGTGTCGCTACTCATGCCAGGACAGTATCAGATTGGCCTGATGGACGTGGCTGTACACGCGTTCCTTACCTTAAATCTGTTGTAATACTTACGCCAAGAGACTTCTGCTGTTGCGCTCTCCTTGCTGTGTTCTTTGAGGACTCACACAAGACGTAATTAGGCGGTGACATCTCGGCTTTGGCTACATTTACAACACATATGACCTCGAGTATCTCCGGTAACAGTTGACGTAGTTTGGGCCCACGGCTAGACCTGTTGAGGATTAATCTGAAGGATCAACTGCTGGTCAGTTATCTGGAGTTTGTGGTGTCTGGTTAACAATGGCAAGGAAGCGTGCGCCTTCTACTCATCCCTCTACTTCTTGCCGGTGACGCTTGAAGAGTTGACTTGGTTCTGCCGCGCAACGCGTAGCTTTCAGGCGTTAGCAATAGTGTGCTAACATGTCCCTAACGGATGGATCACCCTCCCAAGGAAATTGAACTCCTTGCGGGGCAGCGTCAGTAACGTAGAACAAAGTTTTTTAGGAATTCACAAGATAAATGAGACCGATATTGAGTACTGTCTGATTGGCTGTCTGACTCAGCTTCGTTGACCGGCCGATTACTTTTCACCTTGCTTCCAACGTCTTCCTGTTCACATCACTGCCTTAGGGAGGACCACAGGCACCATTAGCAGTGCAAAAGTCGAGGCCGACCACGCCCACTACTGTTTCAAGAAGTAGGCTCGGTGGTAGTGCTTTTGGCTTGAGTTTATCTATAATGAAGCAGGCTTTTACTCCTATTGTAAAACAAGTGCAGTGACTGACACTATGCACGTGTCACACACTACTTCGACCCTACCGCGCGTGTCAGTCAGATTTAGGTAATCCAGATTCCACATAGGTCAGTGTCATAGTAGCCTCGTTAAACGGAGGTTCTTGTCTGTTAGTTACCTTAGAAGCCACGATTTATAGCGTGTCATGGTACGTTCAAGTGCGAAGGATTTATCACGGTGAGGGATGTGTGAAGTCCGTCCTTTACGGTCGCCAGACCTCCCTCTTATATAAATCCAGTGCCTTTTCCGAGTCATGACCACAAGTAAGATTGGACGCAGTGGTTAATGAGCAAAACAGCCCGTCACCGCCTGTTGCACTCAACCTTTTCCTTCACGTCAGTTTAACCGTCGCGAAAGACAGTATCCACTCTTCATGTTCGCGGACCATCCCCGGGAGGTCGCAGGCAAAGTGAGCCGCTGCACCAAGGTCCTCAAGGCTCTAGTGGGCACATCCTGTGGCAGCGCGAAAGAGACTTTGACGACCACTTTCAAAGCGCTGGCCAAGCCGCATTTCACTTATGCGGCACCAATCTGGTCTCCTACGACCAGCTCTTCTAGCCTCGGCCGCCTTCACTCAG